CTTCCTGGAGCTTAATCATAAATCACTCTTGGCACGCTTCCCCAGTACACATTAATTTCACTATTTAAACAAAAAACAACAAAAAAAGGAATATCTTCTTTAACACGTGTACCCACTAAATATAACGCTTTTAATGTTAATAATGATAATTTGGGTGTGCGCAGGTGGCAGCACTGCTTGGAACAACTCATATGCTGAGGAAAATGCTGTGTTTCTAAGCTGTTGCTAGAAGCTGAAATAGGATTGTCATCATCCAACCAAAGCACCTAAGAGCATCTAAGAGGGAAGAAGAAGAAGAAGAAGAAGATGAAGAAGAAGAAGAAGAAGAAGAAGAAGAAGAAGAAGAAGAAGAAGAAGAAGAAGAAGAAGAAGATATGCACGTGAGTATGTGTGCAGGAAGGAAAAGACGGCTTACTCAAAAGAAAAAACGAATTTAAACCGATGTTCGTTATTTATTGGTGTAGTGATTTGAGAAATGCCCTGCGAGACACGGGAAACTTTGAATACGTTCACATAGGAATTGTTCCAATTAACCTAACTTTTGTGTAGCGCCTCATAGATAGATATGAATAGATACATATATATATATATATATATATATATATATAGAGAGAGAGAGAGAGAGAGATAAACCGCTAAGAACATATAGATAGATAGATAGATAGATAGATAGATAGATAGATAGATAGATAACAAACTGAAATATATATATATATAGATAGATAGATAGATAGATAGATAGATAGCAAACTGAGATAGATAGATAGATAGATAGATAGATAGATAGATAGATAACAAACTGAAATAGATAGATAGATAGATTCTAGCATTAAAATTCTACTGATTTGGTCGAAAAATACCTTTTCGCTTTTCTATTTGACAGATGCCATTTATTTTACGAAGAGCAGAGGAAGTGTAGGAGTAATCCTTTCTCATGCCCTTGTTGACCGTTTTCTCTAAATAGCTTTCTTAATTTAAGATGATCATTAGGTCATAACCAGCTGGATGCGACGACTCTCTCCACCGTTTATTCGTCGAGGAATCCTTTTCCTGTGTTTTCTGATAGACCTAGCCTAAATGTACACACAAAGAACTTAGAAATTAATTTTCGCTTCAAACCTAACGTTAGGGACAAGAACAATAACTCTTTTCGGGCAGACGTCATGTGATAGGAGGAACTTGTTTCTACAGATCTCAAGAGTCTCTAACGCCTTCAATTGATTTGTTAAATGTTGAGCCATAACCGCAAATGTTTTTATTTATTTCTTTTTGATGTTTTTTTTTTATCTTTGTTGTTGTTGTTGTTGTTGTTCGTCGTCTTCTTCTTCTTCTTCTTCTTCTTCTTCTTCTTCTAATTATTATTATTATTATTATTATATGAAACATGTCATTTCTAATTGTTATGGTCCGGTTCCTTGTACCACGGTGATAGTCCAAGGTAGAACCAATAAAGAAGAACTCGAACACGGATATAGAATAACACAGATATATTATAAACAGGAATATATACAGAGAAGTAGAAGTGTTAGTATGAACAATCAGGTTTAGTAGGGAGAACAATGTAGTCTCGACCAGTATCACTATTCCAATGTCTTGCAGTAATTGTCTGAACGCCACTCTGTTTCGGACTGCCTCTGACTCGACTCTTGACTCGACTTGAACTACTGACTATATTTAGTCACCCCCAACCTGGGCATCATGGGCCAAAATATGCGTGGGCACCATTGTATAAACGGGTTCAGGGTCGGTTTACCGGTTTAACCTTTCGGGTTCCCTCGGCCAAAAGAGTTCAACCGCCCATATTCATTCACAGCCGTATAAACGGGTTTTTAACGGGTCGGCCAAAAATATGCCCATTGAACCCGAAAGAGAATCCGCCCTTCGGCGTAGCCTCTTTCGGGTTCCTCCTGCCGCCCGAAGGCAGAGAGTTCAAAACCGACGATATTCATTCACAAGGGCGTCATTCCCGAACAAGGCCGGCCAAAAAATTTTGAACCCGGGATTCTTTTACCTCCCCGAGGAGACCCGCCCTTCGGTGTGGGCTCCCGCCCGTAAAGAGAGTTTAACCGAACAGTCGGTTCATTGAACCCGTATTCAAACAGGTTCAGGGTCGGTTTTTAACGTGGGCATTCCCGGAGCCATTAGGCCCCAAAAATTAGCCCATTTGAACCCGTATAAACGAAAGAGAATCCCCGAAGGAGACTCCGCAGCGTAGCCTCTTCGGGTTTCTCCCGCCCGGTTTAACTCCAGTCGCCTTGAAGGCAATATTCAGAGAGGGTTCAAAGGCCTTTTTATCAGGCATTCCCGGCCATTACTGAGATCGGCTTAAACTTCTGGGCTTATGAACGGGTTCTGACTCTCTCCGCCCTTCGGCGTAGCCTCCTTCCTGAGGAAAGATTTATTAACAGTCGGTTCAGACTAACCATTATTATTATTATGGGGTAAGATCCAAGGCCTTTTTAACGTGGGAATTCCAGAGCCATTAGGCTCGGCCAAAAATAAGGTCCCGTATAAACGGGTTCAGGGGCCAATTTACCCTCCCGAAGGAAGGAAATTCCGTCCGGAGACAGAGAAACCGAAACCCAAGGAAATAATAATAAGGCGCAGTATTTATAATAATAATAATCCAAAGCCATCAAAAAGCTGTCAAAGCCCGGAAGGACCTTGAAATCGAAATCACAAAATATGGCACATGTGGACATCAACGAACCCTGTTGTAGTTGGAACCCTCGGATTGGTTGGAAAAATTCCAGTAGACTCATTGAAGGGATTCCTGGAAGTCCATGCCTTAAAGAAATACAAAAACTGTTCTCACGAGTACAGCCCACACCTTACGAAGGGCTTTATCTATGTAATTTTTTTTTTAATTGGTCAGTGGAAAATGTCATGATGCCATTTCTAACCATAGGTCTCTAGGCGGGAGCGGGAAAGAAATGTGTACACATCAGTAATCAAAGGAAATAAAATAAATAAATAATAATAATAATAATAAGAAGAAGAAGAAGAAGAAGAAGAAGAAGAAGAAGAAGAAGAAGAAGAAGAAGAAGAAGAAGAAGAAAAAAAGAGATAAATGAATGAATATACCCAGAGATATAACAATGTAGCGACATATGTGTACTGGAAGATATGCAAGAAGCACAAAATCGAAACCACTGAGAGATGGTATGAGCACCTACCGGACACAATTACACAAAATAATGATATAACTATCTTCTGGGACATGCCAATTCAAACTGACAAGTCAGTAAAAGCCAACAGACCTGATATTGTCCTTAAAGACAAGAAATTCAGGAAGTGTTTGCTTATTGACACAACAATGCCATCTGAGAGAAACACCGCCATGAAAACTATCGAGAAATTGTCCAAATACAAGGACCTGGAAATCGAGATTAACAGAATGTAGGGTATGAACAATGAGATTTTATCAACAGTAATCAGAGCTCTGGGCAAAATGAAAAAAAGGAATGGACAATTTTACTAACAGTGTCCCAGGTAAAATCAATATACAAGTTGCCCAGAAGACCTCCCTACTAGGAACATCCCATATAGTAAGAAAAGGCTTATCAATTAAATGACAATTCTCATATAGGGAATAAGGACCATAGTTTGGGACAGGCTGTACAGAATACAAAGCAGGAAACATAACATGCACACATAATAATAATAATAATAATAATAATAATAATAATAATAATAATAATAATAATAATAATAAATGATAATAATAATAATAATAATAATAATAACAATTGTTAAGAGAGCAATTTAAGAAAAGAAAAAAAACAAAGAAAAAACAAAGCTATCGACAAAGCTATCGAAATATTGTTGAACATGGTCAGTGTTTTTCTATTCTTTTCTTTCTCTTTTCATAAATCACCCCCTTTTTTAAGTGTTGAAAAATATTACAAGACTTACGGAAATCATTTTGTTTATTATTATTATTATTATTATTAAAAAAAAAAAAAAAAAATTTAACTGTAAATTTTTTCTGGGTCAACAACCGAAGACCTAAGTTCAGAGATGGCACCATGACATTTTCCACTAGCATTTTTTAGAGAAAAAATAATAAGATCATAACATAAATTAATACAATAAAAATAATTCGTAAGATGTGTGCTATAATTGTTAGTACAATTTATTGTAAAAACAAAGGCAAAAAACAAGGAATCACCTCAATGTGCTTATCGGAACCTTTTCCAGTCAAATCGAGGACTTCAACTACAAATGATATTTTTGATGTCCTCATGTGCCACATTTTTAAGATTTCGATTTCAAGGTCCTTGTATTTTGATAGTCTTTTGTAGATCTTCAAAGATACATTGAAGTCTGCAGGGACTGCCATGTCAATGAGGAGGCACATTCTGTTCTTGCGTTCTTTGATCACGATGTCTAGGCGATTATCTTGGATGTTTCTGTCTGGGTGTATTGTAAAGTCACATAAAATTGTTACATGCTCTATCTCTGTAATCGGGTCTTCGTGGTGTTCTTGCCAATTTCTTGTAGTTTCCTTTCCGTGAAATTTGCAAATTTTCCAATGCAGATATACGGCCCACTCTGTCATGCCGGGTTTTATATTCAGTGGGTGCCAATGCCGTGCAACCTGATACCATATGGTTAATTTTTTTCTGGATATTTATCACAGAATCTACATTTTGGGCTAACTTTTTCAGTATGTGTACTTGGTAATTTCTATTTAGTAAGCATTGGACCTATGCAACAAGAATAAAACCTTCAGTTTCAGCTTTCAACCCTGCACTGGGTAACCACTGAGGTGTACGGGGTTTGTCTACATGAGATTGTTTGACACATTGACCGTAAAGAGGTTTATCGTTTCTGTATCTGGTCCATTGCATTTGCTTTTGCTTTCTTTTATAATTTTATTATTATTATTATTATTATTATTATTATTATTATTATTGTTGTTGTTGTTGTTGTTGTTGTTGTTGTTGTAGTAATTTAAAATCCAACAACGTCGGTAATTTTTTTAACCTCTTAAAAATATGCCTAACAAAATGGCGGTAATGTTTGTGGTTTATTTTTATAACTCGTATTTTCCCTCCCTGTTCTTTATTTTTTTCTTTGTCGTAATTTCTTTGGGCGGAAATCTAACCGACAACTGTCACTTCTTTATGATATTGTAATAGACCAACATTAAGGTTCTTAAAGCTCCTTTAAAGACTCAAGTGTAGGGATTCATTTTCGGCGTCCATATTTCTGTTCAGTCGAATCTGAGATGTACTTATGACCCCTACCCGTCTCTTTTTACCCTTTTGCTTTCTCTATCTCTCCTGTTCGCTTTTTCTCTATCCTTACATGCTTCTCTCTCTTTTTTTTTCAATCTTGCTCTCTCACTCTCTCTTTTTGCTATCCATCTCTATAGATTCTCCCTTGCTTATCTCTCTATGACCCTTTTCTTTCTTTCTTTCTTTCTTTCTTTCTTTTTATGTGTTGACGTCCACGTTATTATTCCCTCGCATTCACTTTCTTTTTCTATATCTCTTCCAAACATCTCACTTTCCTACTCCATCTTTTTTACTCTTTCTTTATCCCTCACCCTCTCTCTCTCTCTCTCTCTCTCTCTCTCTCTCTCTCTTTGCTCTCACTTTCCGATACCAACTTCTCATTTTCCTCTCTTTTTCTCTCTTTCTATTCTTATTTTTCTTGGCGATATTTTTTTGGTCAAACGTATGACATGCACAATGAGGATCAAAATCACAACTTAGTAATGAAGTTCAATAAAAAAATTCCCTAACTAATACTCCAAAACGAGGCATCTTTTCTCTCTCTCTTTTCCCCTCTCTCTTTCTCTCTTTCTCTCCTTAACTAATATTTCAAAACGAGAGGTCTTTCTCTGATTCTATTCTCTATCACTTTCTGTCTCTCTTTCTCTATCTCTCTATCTTTTTCACTCTTTCTCTCTCCCTTTAACTAATAGTACCAAAACGAGGCGTCTTTTCTCCGATTCGCTTCTCTCTCTTTTTCTCTCTCTTTCTATGTTTCTCATTCTCTATCTCTCACACTTTCTCTTTCTCTCTCCCTCTTTCTCTCCTTAACTAATTATAGCAAAATGAGGCGTCTTTTTCTCATTCTCTATCTGTTTTCTCACTCTTTCTATCCTTAACTAATAGTGCCAAAACGAGGCGTCTTTTCTCTGATTCTCTTCTCTCTCACTTTCTCTCTCTTTCTGTGTTTCTCTTTCTCTATCTCTTTTTCTCACTCTTTCTATTTCTCTCTCTCTCCTTAACAAATACTACCAAAACGAGGCGTCTTTTTCTCATTCTATTCTCTTCCTCTCTCTCTCTCTCTCTCTCTCTCTCTCTCTCTCTTTCTCCCCTTGTGTTGTGA